GGGAACGGTGGTGAGAGAAGCCATTAGATTAAATTCATCAAGATGTGTGTCCTTTGTCTTTATTATTCTTTCCTTGTCACTCGCTGTTTGAGTCTGCCAATCTCCACTTCTCTTTTTGCAGCTTCATCTCACCTACTCTTTTTTTATTATCTTTTTATGCTGCCTCACTTCACTTCTTTTGATGCATCTGTTTTTGTAATATTCAATAGCCAAGGCCCATTACTCCGTCGGTGAAGATGGAATTATGTATGACGCACTTTTGGTCACTAGAAAGTTCCTCCATTGACTACGAGAAAATAATCAAAAAATCTGATAGTTAGTTGTTGGAATAGTAACTATTTTATCACACTTCATCAAATTATTTATCATACTGTTACACCACACCAAGAGTAAAAATTCTCGAAATACCACGCGGTATAATTCGTTACATAGTGTAGCAAAATACATGGTCAAAATGTCAGAGTGCACAGTTAGAAACAAGACACGTGTCAAGTAAGCAGTAATTCGTTACATTGTGTAGCGAATTACTCATCCAACAGAACTTTGTCACATCATCTTGCATAATTCGCTACACAGTATAGCAAATTACTGCCTGCCTGACACGTGTGATGTTGCTGACTGTGCAGGCTGAATCTTGACCACGTAATTCGCTATCGTGTGTAGCGAATTATTCCAACCAATTGTGACTTGTCACATCAACAAGCATAATTCGCTACATAGGATAACGAATTATGCCGCGTGGTATTCTATGAAATTTTACTGTTGGCATGGCAGTCTGATAAATCTTTTGTTGAAACGTGATAAAATGATCATTGTTCCTCGTTGTTAGAGTTGAGAGGTAGAGATAATAGATGGAAATAAAAATATATGTTCGATCTTTTTTAATATTACTTTTGGAAGGAATTTAAAATTTTAATTTTGAATTCATTCTGAATAAAATTTCCTTCCATAAAGATACTTGTGGTTGATAAAAAAGGAAAGAAAAAAAAAACAATAGATTTGTCCCATACTTAAATGATTGAACCTATTAAGTTGCCATCCTTCATTAAGACTGTTTCCGTTGAATTATATTATGTCAAGTGTTCCTATGAATTAGAAGATATTAGTTTGCAATTGTTTTTTTGGTAATAAATCTGACTTGCATTTTGTTTGTAGACTTTAGTTGATTGATATAATTGGGAAATTTGTTTGGGTTTAGTATTGGGTCTCCTTGGGTTTACTCGGTTTGCTCGATCATATGTAAGAGATTCAATCGCTGGTTGTGGGGGTAGAGTTATTGTGTTAAATGGTTTGGGTCAGATCCAAACAAGATTAATTGCAATACCTATTTATGGGTCCGCAAGATCCTCACACTAGTCATGTCTTAAATTCAATTGCCAGTTGCCTCCCTTGCATTGAGAGTTTGGACATTGCATCTAAAGTTAGCAAGGTGGGTTTAGAATTCCTACAAATTCCTTTTTTTTTTTTTTTATATTTTATAAACTACATATATTCTTTACGGGAAGCAATTCTATTCAAGTTGGAAACATTTATATTATGGTGGATCTAACTCTTCTAAAGAATTTTTTTTTGCATTTACAAAAGCTTAAACTCAAAATCTTTTTTGATAATAAAAACTTAGAATCTTACCTAAACAAAATCAAGCATGTATCACTTGAATCAATCTATTTTAATTGAATTCCTATAAATTTTGATGGGTTAACAAAGAGCATATAGGAGTAGCTATTTCTTTACTAAAAATGAGAAAAGATAAATTCAAATGACATCAATCATAAAAAAATTGAATAGAAAAAATATAATTAATTAAAGGGAAAAAATATATTTAACGTTACTTTAGACAATTTTGTCTAATATTTACCGAAACGAGATGTCGTTTTAGGGTCAAAAAATTTAAAAATTAAAATGATAAAAATTATTATAATTTATAACATTGAAATAAATCAAAATTACAAACATATTATGATTTTCGCCCCAAAATAACATCGTTTCAGTTAACATTAAACAAAGTTATCAAAAGTAACTTTAGAAAGAACAAACCCTTAGTTAAAATACCTTTTCAACTTTAATAAATGATCAACTGAGTTTTTAGTAAGTTTTAGTATTTGTTTAATTTAATCACTTTGATTGTGTTTTTTTTAGAAAGAAATAAGTTTTTTTATCAAAAAATATGTTAAATTTTTTTAAAATAATAAATCTGATTTAGGACCCGTTTTGATGAGCTTTTTTTCCTTCAAAAACTGCTTTTTTTAAAGAAAAAAATCACTTCTCGTTTTTAGTTCGTTTGGATGTCTACTTTTAAAAAAAGCAGAAGTCACAAAAAAAAGCCAAAAACTTACTTTTTTCAGAAGCTAAAATTTTAACTTTTAAGAAAAGCAGAAGTCAAAAGTTAAATATTTTTTTCAAAAATTAAATATTTTTATAAAAATATAAATAACTTTAACTTCTAAAATAAAGAAGAGGTAAAAGTTACTTTTTTTAGAAGATGAAACAAAGGGGCTCTTAAATCTTTTGAGCTTTATCAGAAGTTAAAAATAACAATTTTAAAAACATTTTGAAGAAATTTAAAAAAAAAATCATTATTTAAATACTCTATAGTCTACCCTCTACACTATTTATATAGTAAACACTTTCAAGAAAATTAAAAAAAGAAGGATTCGAATTCAAAAAAGTTGCCCGTTATTAAAGTGCAAATATTCCCTCCCGTTTTTTCTGCTCCATTCACACAACACACCCCGCAAACCTAGGGTTTCTCTGTCTCGCTGAACTGAACTCAAATTCCCGGTGCTTCCTCCTCAAACGCAGCAACAACTTCCAAAAAGCGATTCCCAGTGTCTTCAGCTTCTGCGTTTCGCGGTTCCTAAAATGAACCAAAGCGCGTCGAAACACGTTCCTTCTTACCAGCCAATGCTGCAAGAGTCGATTAACCGTTTCTTAACCGAATACCGAAAAGGCGTAACCGATTTCGGCGATTTCAGTTCCATCTTTTCCCGAATGCTTCACAACATGCCCGATCCTCCCCTGCAGCTTCTGTGGTTTTACTCGGCGCTTGAGTTTCACACAAACAGGTTGGGAGCTGGCGGAGAATCTTCTAGAAGGGTTTCGGTGGCCAAGGGTTTGTTCCAATTGCTGGTTTCGTGTTCGGGTGGTTGCGGTTCCATGAAGAGAGTCGGTGCTCTCGCGCCTTTGGTTTTTGAGTTGTACCGTTTGGCGCTTCGCGAGGAGAGAGAGTTGAAGAGCGAGGTGGAGAGCTTGGTCGAAGGGGTTATTAGTTATTGCAGCATTTTTTGTGGTGATGATGATGATGATGGTGATGGGATGGTGATTCTGGAGGCGGATTTTTTGGATTTGATACCTGTGTGGATGGTTGATCACGGTGTTGGGGATTGCGTGAAAGGGTTTTTCCCTTTTGTGAGTGATCAGTTTTTGAATGGAATTAAGATGGGTTGTTGCGAGGTTGGTTTCTTGGGTGGAGTTGTTATGTGTGAAGCTCTTTTGTTGAAAATGTGCTTGATTTTTCAGTCTGAGGGGATTACGAAAGCGGAGCTGGAGAAGAAGTTGGACGCTTCCGCAGTTCAGAGCATAACAGGGTTTCGGAATTTTTACTTTTTGGGTAAGACCTTGTTTTTTCAATTTGCAGAATTTTTCACTGGTTAAGGAACATTTACATGTAATATTTTCTGTTATTTGTTTTTAATCATTTAAAGAAGTAAATATAAAATGTTTTTAAAATTTGTAATATTACTAACGAGTGTTTGATTAAGAAAATGTGACTAAAAGTAAAAAGTATTAAATAAAAGAATTGCAAACCCCTGAGTAGTCCAGACTCTAAGATCGAAGACATTTCACAAAGTGAAGTATTTATTATATTTTAAATTAAAAAAATTAATTAATTTTTATATTTTTAGAAGTATTTATTATATAAATAGTACTTTTTAAGGTGCTTGTTAGCGAGACCTTTTTATTTAAAATATTCTTAATTTGTGTTTCCTAACCACTGCCTTCCTTAGCAAATGTCTTGATATGATCGTGTTCTTTCATTACTTTGGAGTTTGGAGTGTAGGCTGTTCAGCATTTTAGGAAGCTGGATCTTGATGAAATGCAATTTTGTTTGTTTATTTATATTGGGTTTTCTGATACTCAGATTGGTTTTGATGTTGCATGAATGTTTCATTCAGGGTCGTCTCATGCCCTTATATGGACCAAACTAATTAGATGACTAGATACCACCAATGTTTGTTAATTTTCTTAGTTCAGGCTCTCCTTTATCCATATTTGTTTATTTCTCAGATTGACTTTGGTCGAATCCTTGTGCTTTCTGGGGTGACCTCATTACAGTTTTCATGTTTGTACTTCATGATTGCTTATTGGTGCGTATCAGATACCCTTTTCAGGATGATGTTGGAGCCAGTCTTGCCAGTGATCTCCCTACTGGTCAGTACCGTGTCTTCTTTGCTTTAGTTTTCCTTAATCATAATTTGGAATTAAGGGCTTTTCGGCAAAGCACCTTTTTTCTCCAAAAGTATGTCTTGGTTTCAAAACTTGAAAGAGTGGCTTCAGAATTTCAAAACTTGAAAGAGTTGCTTCAGAATAATTTCAGGCCCTCTTTAGCTCACATGGCGTAGGTTTAACCAGTCATGTCATGATGTCACTGCCCTCTATAGAGAGGTTACTCATGTTAGCTACCAATAAGATCTAAAGGGTACTGATTGTGTCATATGAAGTTCAAATAAGGTAACACTCGAGCTTTGTTCTTTATACGATAGTGAAGGTAAGACCTAGAGTTGAAGTATTGATTCTATTGAAAAATGTTGGAAAATTATGATTTAGATTTTGGAATTTTAAAACTTACATATACTAACCTTTTCAATAAGATGATTTAGTTCACCAATTTTTCATGAAGAGTTCCTTAGTTGCAATTTTCAGTATATTGTCTTTGAAAAGGATTACTACTTGGTTAGCTGCATTTATTATTAATTACAATAATCTTCACGGACATTGATTCCAATGCTGGGCAGCCTTCTTCTTTTGGTAATTTAAGCTCTTTAGTTTACCTTCAAGAAGTGTATGATGTATTTCTCGTTTCTATTTTTACTGTTACGTTCAACAACTAACTGCTTGTTTTACTATAGGGTTCTGAAAGTGAAGTTCTTTTAAAAGAAGTCCTGTACAATTCTGTGATGATGATAGAGTATTCATTCATTAATCCTCAAGCAGGAGGTTCACTACATGCCAACAAATTGAAAGATTTTGCTGTAACTTGGTTGTTTGTTGCTGAGTTGGCTATACAATTTGCTAGGTATGAGAAAAGACTATCGTAGCTGTGATGGATGAAGGGGTTTCTAGAATGTTTCAGCTGATAAGTCTCATAATCTGGTTGATCACAGGGAAAAAGGTGATCAGGGGAAAGTTATGTCTTATGTAAATGCCTTCTGTAGATCCTGCATACCCGTTCATTTGATCAACTGGGTTACTAGTCAAAGTGCCGTAAGCAGAAAGATCAGCAGACCAAATGTTTCCACACCCATAGCTCTTATAAGTGAGTTCCTCCCGTTACCTCTTGCAAATTTTTGTTATTTTTTTCACTTCTCTTTGTACCATGAAGAGGCTGTTATATTTTCGAAAAGTTCAGCAAGCTTTATAGTTGAATCTTGAATATGGCTGCACCCAATTTCAAATTGTATCAGTGCCATTGGTGATTAAATTCAGATTTTTGTCAACTGAGAAAAGCGGGCCCATTTTGCATATTCTCTTTTCTTTTAATTGCCCCGCGTATCTAATAATTTTTGATTCATATTCAGAGTGGCTTCTAGTTGTTGAGGAACAAGGATTGACAGTATTTAGTGGTGAAACTGTCAAGCATCTTGCAAAAGCTAACTTCTTCCCTTCGAGAACTGAGTGCACGCTTCCAGTGATCAAACATGTCTTTAACAATATGGAGAAGAATCTCTTTTTAAATTCTTTACATGGAGGGACCGAGGCAGATAAAGATGATGGTGATATAGAGATGCTTGATACCGTGGACACCGTAAGTTTGGCTGCTGATGATAGAGTAAGCACAACCAGCTCTGACGGGACAAAAAAACGAAAAGAAGTGATTGAGGATGATAATAAAACGCAGGTAAAGTTTATGAGATGTCAGATTCATGAGAAATCATTGAGGGAAAACTCATTTATATTCAGGCAACAATGATGCTTTGGATAGTGGGAGCACAGTTGATAATTTGGTTTCACGAAGCTTTGAAAGTAATAGAGCAAAATGATATATGGTTTGATGAACCAGTATGGAGATGCTGGGCTAGCAATTTTTATGACGATCCATTTTCATCACTTTGCTTTTGGTAAACACTAAACCCAATGTCTTCTGTGGCATAGAGACCATAAATTATAAATATATGGAAATCCCTACAACCCGGGTTCTCAATTTCATTTTAGTTGGCATCTGTAATGTTCTTTTAAGCTTCAAATCACCTAACCTGTAATCGTTAGGCATAGGACTTGGTCGAATGTCTTGAAGCCAGTAATACTAATACTCTGCCTTTATTTCCCCCCTGATTTCTGTGGTTATGCATGATAGAAGGATGAAATTTTTGATGAGGGCACAAACAACACTCTAATGAATTAGTATTAAATTTATTAAAATAATTAACTTTTGTTTGTAGCTGAATTTTTTTAAAGAAATAATGATGTCAAAAAATCAATTAAAAATTTATATTACCATTAAATACAATTAAAAATCTGTTTGGCTGGTAAGTAAATAATAGAAGACTGAAAATTGAAAGTATATATATAATTAAGTATAATAAAATAAGATGAAATATATATTAATAATAGGGAAAAAGAACTATCATTTAAAAGGACACAAGTTGTGTCCTTTTAGATGATTTACACAAAGTATGTCATAAAAGTTGTTTTTTTTTTCTCTCCTCAATCACATCGCTGACGTGTAAAGTGAAAAAAAAACAACTTTTAGTGACTTACACAGAGTATGACCGGTCATACTCTGTGTAAGTCACTAAAAGGACACATCTAGACAAGATGTGTCCTTTTAAATGACACACACTAAACCCTTAATAATATTATTATTCAAATGTGTTCTGTTTACGTGACAGTCTGATAGAGATGTCTAGTCTATAGTTAGTAGATCAATATGAGATTTTGTGTTCTAAGTATTTATGAATTAGATACCTTGGGATAGCGAATCACTGTACTATCTGTATACAACTATAAGGGCCAATGGGGTTGTGTGTGCATAGTGATAGCAAAATATTAAGAGAGATCAGTCCATACGTGTGGTTTTTACCTTTTATTTATAGAGTTTACTTTAGGGTTTGAAACGATCTAGACTTCTTTCTTCAGGGGTCCAATTGTCTTCTTGTATAGCTGTCAAATGTCTGCCCTTTATCAGGCCTTTTAAGCATACGAGCTATCCGTAACAAAATGCTCCCCCCAACAATAAAAAACCCCCTTTAATTGGTCATCCAAGCACAGCATAGATTTATAGATGTTAATTTTTTGGATTCAAAATATTTTTCAAGGGAGATAATTTTGTTCGAGGCGAATTTTGAATTAAGGTTTTAAATCTTTTTCAAATATGGTATTAGAGAGGATTGAATATATGTTCTTATTCTCCATCTGTTTAGTTCTCATACGTCAATTGAGCTACCATAATTTGACATAGATATTAAATTTAAACCACATTTTCTGCTACTTGCTTAATATCCCCTAACCTTTCAACTTCGAAGCAAATTAGGTAAATTGCCATGCTCTGTTTTTTCAGAAGATACATTACATGCTCTTTTATTCAGTCAGATCTTACTTATGGAGTTATGTTCAACATTGATTTTACTTTTTTTTTTTTTTTAATTTATTGCATTCGTATTTTGTTCTTCCCAATGGAAGCATATGCATGATGGTTTATTATAGTTCTTTTTTTTTTTTTTCCCGTAAGCTGGTTTATTATAGTTCTTTAACAAGTACCTGCAAGTAAATGACGTTAATAATCACTGCACTATACATTATTAGAGAATCTTAACTTATTTGATCAGGAGTCTATTGAGAAGTTTATACCTTTTTGTTAAGATGTAGTCCTATATAACAGGACCGGTTAGCAAATGAAAATGGAGTACATTCTATCATGTCTAATTTAATATAATTGTCATACGAGAGGATGCTAATAATATAATGGTGAATTAATAGTAATAAGAGATAACAAAAATATATTAAAATAGATAATTATAAAATTATCTAATGGGTTTGTTTTTTTAAATTACTCTAGAAAAATTTATCTAATATTTACCAAAACGACATTTATTTTAGTGTAAAAATTATGATGTGTTTGTAATTTTTTTTTTGGTAATCGATGTGTTTGTAATTTAAATTATTATAGAATTATAATAATTTTTGGTATTCTAATTTTTTAATTTTTCAATCTTAAAATTATATCATTTCAGAGAATATTAGATAAAATAATCTAAAATAATTTTAAAATTTTTATTCTTTTATAAAATTATTATTATTAATTTGTGTATTAATGGTTAAAATTCTCTCAAGATATTTAATACGGGAGGATCTGTTTCAAAGGAAAACAAAGTTAACATTCCCAATTAACAATGTATTACAAAATATATTCTTCTCGCGTGGGGAATCTGTCTTGGTCTTGAAAGAAAAAAAGAAAAAAAGACAGCTATCACTAGCAGTACCAGTACCATTTTGTCAAATCAGAAGTTGATTTAAATATTTTTGTTTTTTCTGGCAAGAATAGTATTGTTTAGCTGTTACATAAAGTGAAATGGCAATGCAAAATTGCGCGGGGACAAGGGATGCCAATTTCAGTTGAAAGTGATATATTTGGACAACGCATCGTGTAGTGGAGCCCAACTTTGTAAAGCCTAACACGTCTCAAACTACAGGATTGAATGGTTGTTGAGCGATGACTTTGTACCTTTTTTTTTTTAACACTTTGTATTTTTTTAATACTTAACTGTGTAAAATTAATCTTTATCTTACATAAAAGAGTGTATCTTATGTTGTTGTGAAATAAAATCAAGTTGAGATCCACCTTGATTTTGTTTTACAACATAAGATACAGTCTTTTGTATAGCATAAGATTAGTTTTACCCTACTTAATGTTTAGGATTCATTTTTTTGCGATGAAATAGATAAATTATTTATATCGAGTCTGAAATGAAATTATTTTGAGACAGAAATTAATGTATTTATGTAATTTTAATTTATTTTAAAATTATAATAATTTTTATTATTATAATTTTTAAATTTTTCAACATCAAAATAACATCATTTTAAAAATAAAAACAAATAACTTATATGCAGTTATTAATATATATATATATATATATATATATATCACCATACACACATTAATAGGTAAGGTGTTATTTTAATTTAACCAATGGTTTTGACTTTCGAGTTACATAAATATCTCCATTCAAGCAACTCCAATCAATGGTTTCGAGCAGTGTTATTAAACTCGATCTAGATATTGATCTGGTTGAGATACTGGATTATTGGGTCACTGGCCGAACCGGTTGACCCGTATATATAGATATATAAATATAAATATATATATATAAACTTATAAATTCAATTATATTCTCTATATTTAAAATGAATTAAATAAGGTTCATTAAATAAGCTCAAAAATAAGAAGCATAAATAAATAAAAATGCATGCTATTACTATGTCAATTTAAATTGCAACTCAGAATTCCCATAAACATACCTCTCAATGACACTGAACTCATATTTTTCAAATTCAACTACATTAAAAATGACATATGTCACATTCTCTTAATTTATTATTCCGCAACTTGCTTCAATATTATAAGCTGAAATTTGAGGTCATTGAAGAAGAATATACTTGCAAAAAAAATTAAAATGAATTCTACATTTTTTTGACAAGATGAAATAATTTTAGTGGAGGAGAGAGACGAATTCTCTGGCCCTTAAAGATTTTCCAAGAATTTATTTGAGTTGAATCCCTTACTTAGTTGCCAGTTTAGCTACACTTGAGGATTATATATGATGTGATTTTATTTTCCTGTATTTCAGATTTATATATTAATAAATATGTTTTCCAAATTGAGGGACATAACTCAATTTTTTAAGATGCATTAGCTACAAGAAATGATAACGATATTCCTTATATTATAACACATAAGAGCACTATCTTTCACTGTCAGTTGAATTATTCTGAAATAGAAGTATGGTTGAAAGGCAAGTATTAATTATAATACTTTTGGTATGGAAGAGCAAGGGTCCAGAATAGTTCCATTTTTTGGGGTGAATTACTAGTTAATGAAATCAAAATCTTATTTATTTGTATTGTTGAGGGCCTGATTCAATTAAAATTTGAAAACATGTGGGTCCCTCATCATGGGAGCACTGTGGTAGAACTAATTTTAATAAATTAATTTTTTTTATCAATCTTACACTTAATTGCTTAAATTATAGGTAAAATTATCCATGTTGGAGTAAAATATATTTTTTGTTACTGTGGATATCTTTAGAGATATTATTTTTAGAGAAACTCTTTATCCAAAGGATAAATACTAAAAACTGAAAATTTATAATTTGACTTTAAATAATGAAAGATCAATTTTATTATCAAGTTGAGCAATTAATACTGTTTTACCAAAAAAATTGAAATAAAAATAAATAATGCATTTACAAAGTTCCAAAATTGTGTTTTATAGGAAAAAACAAGTTTATATATATATATATATATATAATTATTTTACCTATATTTTTTTTTTGCCTATCTTACCTATTTATCTTTAATAATATTTGATGATAATCTCAAAAGAAAAAAAAATAAAATTTTGAAACAATTGTATTGCAGATAAATAGGTAAGGTAAGTAAGAAAAAATATAGGTAAAATATCTTATTACATATATTAAATCTATTTTTTGTTTGTTTGAGTAATTAATTTTTTTTAATATTTTAAGAGACAAGAAAAAGAAAATAAAAAGAAAAAAATGTCGGTCTACCCAAGTGTGGTTAATTGAACCAGAGTCTCAAGTTCCAACGGTTGATGCGGACCGCTCGTGAGGCCCCAACGAAGAGTACCACGGGATTGAAGCGTCGGTGACTCGGTCGAGTTCATTACGAAAAACAACTCAGAAACACAGCGCGATTGTTCGCATATAAAGGAATCCCCCAAGTGCAAGTGCAAATGCAAATGCAATTGAAATTTCAAATGGCTGATTCATCTTCAACCGATTCAGTTTCGGTGGATATGGAAGCCATCTATCCTTCAGCCAAGGTATACTTTACTGCATTCTATTCTCTTTTTCAACCATCCTTCTTCCTATGAATTCGCTTTCACATTTTCATTCCTTTTTTATTCTTTATCATGTAACCATGTGCCTCGCTTGTTTATATATTATTTCACCGTTTTTGTTCAATTGTTTGTTAACTAAGGATGGTTTTCAATTGCCATTTTAAGTTTTAACTCATCTGTTTCTTCCCTAGCAAAAACGACATTTCTCGTGTCGTTTTTTGGTTCTCGGCGTTTGTTTGATCATGAAGTTGGAATATGTAGTTAGGGGAACTGCATGCACCACTGATATCATATAATGAAGCTTGATGTCAAAATAATGTCAAACTTAACAATAGTTGTCGCTACGAATGAGAGTTGAGCATGTGAGTGAGAATGAGAGCATGTATTCGATTCTTCCGGTATCATTTTTGAAAGGGATTTAAAGACTTAATCTTGTACCTGCCCTGAACTAAAAAAAAAAACAGAACAAAACGTGAACTTGCGAGTTAAACGGTTACTTCATCAAAGATGGCAGATAATTGATTTAGTTACTAGTTCACTTTTGGATATTAATTAGAGTTTCTAAATGCCAGTAAAGATATTAGTGTTTATGTTATCATGCTTTGGATGGATTGAAGAAATAGAATTGTGTTTTTAGACTTTTCTGTTGCTACTTTTTATCAATGGTAATATTTTGGCTAGATTGAAATATATATATATTTTTTTAATAAAAAAGGTACTTCTTCACATGCAATTTACACTGCCACATTCAATGATTTGTGTCTTTATGTTATGAAGTGCTTCTTTACATGTGACATCCATTTGCATGCGCCTGATTTTTATTTCTTTTTGCTGTGAATGAACCCCAAAGTATTTCCATGTTTTTGTTGCACACGCTAAATGATTAACGGCTCGTTTGTTTTAGATTTCCATGACCGTCCAAAACAACATTTTTTTTAGCTTCCTTCTGACGCTCATGAAGAAGCGTCAAAGGAGCTTCAAACATTCTTTGTCGCCAACCATAAACCCAAAGAGCCATAAAACATCTATTGCTTCCTCACTTACCTGATTCCCTCCCCTTTTCTTACTATGAATACAAAAAGACGATGGTGTATCATAAGCAATTTATTGTCTGCTCCGGTTGACTTCATCTGCTGTTACTGGTAAATAAGCTATAAACATGTCTCTGCAGGAACATATTATAAGAACACATCATGGCTCCATCTCTGTTGCTGTGTATGGAGACATGGACAAGCCTGCTCTTATCACTTATCCTGATTTGGCATTAAATTGTGAGTTAAATGGGTTTTAGGTTTTATATATATCCCCTTGATTTTTCCATATTTTTTGTCAAAGCATTGAGGGCGAGCTTTGAAGTAGCGGTAAGGTTGCTTTTTGTGACCGGAAGGTTATGGGTTCGAGTTTGGAAATAGCCTCTTTGTAAAAATACAGAGATAAGGCTGTGTACAATTGACCCTCATCCGTATTTTCGCAAGTTGGGGAGCCGTTTGCCCTTTTTGTCAAAGCATTGCATCTTATTTGTCTGTAAATTACCTCATTTATATATTTATTTTAATTAACCATTATGGTGAAAATTTTGTCCAAATACATTTGAGTAGATTCAATTTAGCCAGAGTTTTGAAAATCTGGTAGTTGCTGGTATTAAAATATGTATTACAATCTTTATCAGAAAATTAAACGTTTGCTTTGTTTTTCCCTTAAAAATATGGTTCAGTTCCTTATTAAGGTATTTCTTTTTTTGAAAAATATGGTCCGCTCCCAAATGGTTTTATTCAGAGAAATTCAAATATTAAAATATTGTTTTGCGACCTTTTCCAAACATTGATTACTTTCTTAACATTTTTTCTGTTGTTGGCATACTGACAATCTAACCAACCTTTTTTTTTCTTGCATGTTGTTTCATCAGATGTCTCCTGCTTTCAGGGCTTATTATTTTGTCCCGAGGCATGTTCCCTGCTGCTCCACAATTTCTGCATATATCACATTAGTCCACCTGGGCATGAGGTATGTAGCTTTTGTGTCTTGAAGCAGTACTATGGTGTTGCTTGATTCATATCTCGTATTCTCGTCACTGTTATAAATATTTACATTGTTGAATGTTATAATTACCTGGTTGCTTATCATCTTGTGCTTTCTTCAAGAGCTATTGCAGTTGGGAGCTGCTGCAATTAATCCAGATTACCCAATTCTTTCTGTAGATGACTTAGCTGATCAAATAGCTGAGGTTCTTAACTTTTTCGGGTGAGTGTGTTCTAGCTTTAATCAGTAATTGCCTTCCATTTAGTGACTTGAAGAAATTTGCTTTAGAGCAATTTCCGTTTAGCTATAAATATTGGCAGTCTGGTGTTTAAATTTACAATGTTGATAATTTCAATTTTTTTCTAGAACTGACAGATTGAAAGTGACGACCTGCTGCTCTTTTTTTCTGTGCAGTCTTAATGCAGTCATGTGTATGGGAGTAACTGCTGGGGCTTACATTCTTACCTTATTTGCTGTAAGTTTTCATATTGGCCTCCCCTTCTTAAATGGCGTTAAGATACTTACAGGTCTTTCTAACACTTGACAACAGATGAAGTATGGACAACGTGTTCTTGGTTTGATACTTGTTTCTCCTCTATGTAAAGAACCTTCTTGGACTGAATGGTTGTACAACAAGGTATTCTTTTATGCCTAAATGATCGTGCCTTGTCAAAATAAATCTCGATTTTTTCTTAAGATTTTGCCATATTTGCAGGTCATGTCAAATTTACTCTACTTTTATGGCATGTGTGGGGTGGTAAAGGAAATATTGCTCAAACGGTACTTTAGCAAGGTATACTTATGCTTCGGAAAGCATTCCTTGTTCTACTTACAGCATGGTAGGCTGAGTCATTAAATTTTATTTGTGGTGATAGGAAATTCGTGGTGGTACTCAATTACCAGAGTCAGACATAGTTAAAGCATGCCGAAGGGTTAGTCAATATACCTTTTTTGTTTTCATATACGTACTGGGTTATAACTGGTATCTGATTTTTTGAACCTTAAACACTACTTTTCTGAGTTCTAATATTTTGTGACAGTCATTGGATGAGAGGCAGAGTTTGAATGTGTGGCGGTTCCTTGAAGCTATTAATGAGTACGATTCCACTACCAAAATAGTGATTTTCATTTTTCTTTATGAGGGCAGTGGGTATATTTCACTCAGAAATTAATTATATATACTCGCACTGATGGCTGATAAGTGATAACTTACCTGTTTTGATGCAAAAATGGATATGCCTACACTTTAGTTCAATATGTTCTGGGACAGCAATGCACTTGTTACTTAGGGGTATATTTCATTTTCATTTAACTTTTTATTGGCATCTGGCAGGAGACCCGACATAAGTGAAGGATTGAGAAAATTACGATGTCGTTCATTAATTTTTGTTGGGGATATGTCTCCATTTCACTCAGAGGCTCTCCATATCACTTCAAAATTAGACAGAAGATTCAGTGCCTTGGTTGAGGTGTGTAAAATAGTTCAATTTCCATGTGATAAGAATGTGTGTATATTGAAATGATCTTAGATTTAATACCTGTCGGTGGAACCACAGGTTCAAGCGTGTGGGTCAATGGTAACAGAGGAGCAGCCTCATGCTATGTCAATACCAATGGAGTACTTTCTCATGGGATATGGCTTGTACAGGCCATCCAAGCTGAGTGTCAGCCCAAGAAGTCCCTTGACTCCATCTTGCATTTCTCATGAGCTTTATTCACCAGAGAGTATGGGTTTGAAATTGAAACCAATAAAGACACGAATTTCTGTGGAAATCTAGAAGAAGGTGAATAAAGCTTGGCAATATGCTGCCTTTTCTGATCTGTTTATGGAACGAGTTCATAATTCTGATGAGTGAGGGGGTGCCAAATTGTAGATAGGGAGATAAGGAAATACGAAATCAACAGAGGAAGAAACGAGAAGAGTTTAGTAGAAATCAACATATAGTCATTCTTTCATTTGTAATCATAGATTGTAATTAACGAGTCTGAAGCCTGAACGGTGAAGCTTCGGAATTGTCGTTTTTGTATTTAAAAATAAAATAAAAAATATAATGGAAGTTCTGGTTTCAATTGTAAAACAAACATGTGGCCATAAAGTCATTACTGTGCAAGTGTGCAATTGGTCACAATTCCCTGTTTTTAAGTATTTTTATGTTGTCTCACAAATGCCTTGAGTCATAGCTCGAAATTCAGCTTCTGCACTTGATCTGGCGATCACATCTTGTTTCTTACTTCTCCATGTCACCAAGTTACCACAAAGAAACATGCAATAACCAGTGGTAGAACGACGGTCAGTCACGGATCCAGCATCTGTGTAGACTTCTAAAGATAGATTGCCATCACGTCGGAATAACAACCCTTTACCAGGAGTACCTTTCAGATACTGAAGAATTCTCTCTACTGCCTGCATATGTTTCTCCTTTGGATCGTGCATAAACTGACTGACAACACTAACAATATAAGCTAAGTCTGGTCTAGTATGGGCCAAATATATCAATTTCCCAACTAGCCGTTGATATTGTCCTTTATCAACTGGAGGACTCTCCTCTTCATAGCACATCTTGTGATTCTGCTCAATAGGAGTATTAGAGGGTTTACACCCGAGCTTTCCTGCTTCTTTGAGAAGATCAAGAACATATTTCCTCTGGCTGATAAAGATTCCTTTGCTCGAATGAGCTACTTTTATCCCTAGGAAATATCTCAGTTTCCCAAGGTCTTTGACTTCAAACTCAGAGGCAAGCCGTGTTTGCAGAATCTGTCTCTCCACAAAATCATCACCTGTGATAATAATATCATCAACATATACAAGGAGCACAGTATGCTTCCCATTTTGGGAGTGCTTGAAAAAAAGAGTGTGATCTCCTTGACTTTGTTTATATCCTAAGGTTATCATAACCTTAGTAAACTTTCCAAACCAGGCACGAGGTGACTGCTTCAATCCATACAAGGCCTTTGTTAATTTACAAACTTTATTTTCTCCCTTCACAGAATCAAAACCAGGCAGAATTTCCATGTAGACTTCTTCTTCTAACTCACCATTGAGGAAAGCATTCTTCACATCAAATTGGTTTATATCCCAATTGTAATGGGCAGCAAGGGATAACAAAACTCTCACCGTATTCATCTTTGCAACTGGAGCAAATGTTTCTTCATAATCAATGCCATAGGTTTGAGAGTAACCTTTGGCAACTAATCGAGCTTTGTATCTCTCAAGAGTTCCATCAGAATTATATTTCAGGGCATAAACTCATATGCACCCTACTGCTTTCTTTCCAGTAGGTCTATCAATAACCTCCCATGTTTTATTTTTCTCCAATGCATTCATCTCCTCTTGCATGGCTTGAGCCCAATTCCCATCTTTCAAGTCTTCATGTACTGATTTTGGGATTGCAATAGAGTCTAGTGCTGAAACAAAGCTTTTGTGCTGCACAGACAGATTAGCAAAGGAAACAAAATGGGAGATAGGGTATTGAGTACAAGAGGAACAAGATTTCTTGGGACATGATCTTTTTCCTTTTCTAAGAGCAATGGGTAAATCATCAGAATCAGTAGTAATGGGTAAGTCATCAGAAGTATCATGATCAGAAATATGAGATTCAGGACTTACCAGTGGTTCAGACGATTGAGGTTGCTGTTGAGGCAATGTGGGCTGTGTATCAGTCACAGGAGGATCAGACATAGACACATTGGGAACAGGAACAAGAGGAAGAGACACTGACTCAGGTGAAGGAGTAGACACTGAAGATTCAGATTCAAACCAAATGGAGGATGTCCCAAACGCTTATGATGAAGCCAAATCAAAGAATCAGCAGTTGATTGACCATGAGACATCAAGATGTGATATGTTACTTTATTTGCGGGAGATTGTGACACCAGATAGTACAGCCCACCTTGCTCTTTAGCACTACCAATCGTCTTTCCCGTGGCGAGATCCTGAAAAACACAATGGGTAGGGAAGAAGGTTACAGTACAATTCAGATTTTTTGTAATTTTATGAATAGAAAGAAGATTCGTGGAGAGTTTAGGAACATGAAGAGCATCTTTAAGATGTAAGGACTGCTGTAAGTTTATGTCACCAGAACCCGCAACTGATGTATGTGAGCCATCAGCTATGGCTATAGTATGAGTTCCAATGGTAGGATGATAAGAAGCAAAGGAGTCAGCACAACAAGCCATATGATCAGTAGCACCAGAATCAACAACCCAGGAATGTTTAAAATCATTACATGAAGAAAGGAAAGAATGAGTTTTGGGGCTCATACCAGTCAAAGCCAAAGCACTAGTATCAGATGGCTTACTCAGATAATCAAGGATGGTTCGGAGCCGTTCTAACTCATCTTGACGAAATGCAGGTTGGGTCTCATTAGGTGCAGGAGTTATTCCAAAGGAAGTAAAATGCGCTTGACCACGCATCCTTGCCCTCTTTTCAAAGACAGTTTGCTTTCCATGGAGGCGAAAACATAAATCCTTGATATGACCTGTTCTTTTACAATAAGAACACCACCGATCATCTTTCTTAGGTTTAGAAGATGCAACATCATAAAACTTTGTATAGGAACTCCTTTGAGAAGAGGCCATACTGCACAAAAAACAGTCAACGAAAAAGGCTCTAAGAAGCCAAAAAACAAATAATTATTCATGCTCATGCACATTTTAAAAAACAAATTTTAACCTATTTAAACAAAGGATGTGATGTTTCTCATGTTGTAGGAGATATAATTATTTTCTATTCACATATAAAAATATGTGGAACTCATGTGAAGAGAAAAGAAAGAAAAAGAAAATATGAACCTCACATATTTTTATGTATGTGTAAGAGATAAAATTATCTCTTATAACATAAAGAGATATAAAATTATCTCCTATAACATAAAGAGATTAAACCCTTAAAATCGTAACCTACTTTTAAGTATGCACAAATCATTTGAGAAATGTAGACCATTATAGTTTGCAAGAAAAGGGAGCCAGAGAAAGAAAAAAGAAATATTGTGATGGCATAAATTTCACGAGTTATGATGTAAATAGTGATGATATAAGGCATTTCCTCACTTATTATATTAAGGATGCCCCTCCGCATTTATTTTACGAGATTTAGAAGTATCATGTTACAGGAACGAATAGATGTTTCTAGCAAACCTATCAAACTTTATTATTATTATTTAAAAAAAAAAAAAAAACCTATGAGCCCCACATTTGGTGTTTCTATAACATGATATTTCCATTTTCCTGCATCATTATAGTTATATAATTATAAATCCCTTATCTTTTAGGTTAAAAAGTAAGACTAAATGAGAAATTTTTACTTGTTCGTCTTACAAGACTAATGGCATTATCAATAAACTATTTTCAAGGACAAAATTTCTCAGACATTAATATGACTTTCTATTTTGCATTTAGCACACTAACTCTCTTCAGCATGAAATCCTCCGTACATTTGTGAAGAAACTCATTCATAATTGTATTAGGAATTTAGCGTTTCTGAATGACAAATCTTTTAAGATTGAATAAGCAAAAATTTAGAATAAAAATTATTTAGCAGCATAAAATAATCTCGTTTATTACTCTAGACTACAATTTTAATTGAAAATTCTGTTTACTCCACTTGATGAAGCAGTCCCTAAAAAGGTTTTGTATCATTTCTCTTGGCTTCAATTTCTATAATCTAAGTGCTATAAACATAGCAAAGAATTTATAATCAAGCTGAAACAAAATATGCATTCTGGACATCAAATAAATTCTGTGTTATTTACTAACATTCTATGTTGTAAACTGCAATTCTTGGTCTTCAACATTCATACGAAAGCATATTTTTCAGAACTGTTTCTTTTCACATAATAGTATAATACCCAACTATGCAGAGCATTATGCACAATTTTGGTCTCAGTTGCGTCGTGCTTCTTACTTAATCCAAAAAACAATAATAATATTATTAGTAATAATGCTCCATCATATTGTTATGAGATTTTCTTCACCTTCAATTGATATTAAACATTTGATTGTTCATTCTTATCCTGCTTCTCTGACTGCTCTCGATTCCTTCTTCATTTCGAAGAGCTTTTCTTCTATTAATTTCGGCGTACATTTCCTCAATCATAGGTTTCCATAGCCGAACACGTGCATTAATAAACCAGTTAGATACCTGGTCATCAAACCATAAATTCAGCTCAAAGCGTAACCAAACAAAAATAACATGTTTTCTGTCTATTTGTCTATAAAGGGTTACATTTTTCATAGAAGATTGTTCCCCCAAAACAATTGGCAAGGATCAAAGATGTATGTAACAAGAGCAATAAGTACCTGGCTTCTCGTCAACCCACTTTTAACTGCAAGTAAATGCTTCTCTGCATCTTTAGGATACCTGACATTCATAAAAACATATTAAATAACATATGTATTTGAGGGTAGCTCCATGCACAACCTTTTGTTTCAGATACCAACACGTGTCCAAAACCCCTAACTGGCCTGACTAATCTGGTTTCGGTTTGAACCTCTCTACCCTTACCAAGAGTTATGACTCTTAGGTATCAAACCCACTACCCCTTTGGAAATACTGGGGTCTAATTGGGTCGTCATTGGACCAACAACTCTTGGGTCCATGCACAATATTTAAATTCATTTTTTTGGATACAATGGTGACACCGAGATTTGAATCTATGACCTTACGCAAACTAACCACACCCCTCACCGCTAGTTGCATATGAGGGTAGCTCCATGCACAACTTTTGTTTTAGTTATCAACCTGTGTCTGAAGCCCAAACATGCCCGACTAATCCGGTTTCAAATTTGAGTCTCTTCACCCTTATCAGGAGTTGTGACTCTCAGGAATCAAATCCACTACCTTTTAGGCAGGTCAAATCCTGGGATCTAATTGGGTCACCACTAAACTAACAACTCTTGGGTCCATGCAAAATATTTAAATTCATTTTTTTGGATACAATGGTGGCACTGAGATTTGAATCTATGACCTTATGCAAACTAACCACACCCCTCACCACTAATTGCATTTGAGGGTAGCTCCATGCACAACTTTTGTTTTAGATATCAACCTGTGTCTGAAGCCCAAACATGCCCGACTAATCCGGTTTCAAATTTGAGTCCCTTCACCCTTATCAGGAGTTGTGACTCTCAGGAATCAAATCCACTACCTTTTAGACAGGTCAAATCCTGAGATCTAATTGGGTCACCACTAGACTAACAACTCTCGGGTCCATGCACAACTTTTAAATTCACTAAATATGTATGTTTTGATTATTATAACCCAAAGAAGAAAGATGGTAGCTATGTTTAATATTATATCTTTTAGAGTACAGAAACTCACGGGTGGAGGAAATTCTGAAACATCCAAGCACGTAAAACTGAGACAGATCTTTCAGGCAAGCCCCTTTGGGGCCTCCATAACTGATCTTTTTTTTTCAACTGTTGGAGAGTCCATTGCTTTTGAATGAATGAAGTTTCAACAGACCATTCCTTCTCCTCTTCTGAGCATGAGCTGTTCAAATTCGATCCCATTGCAAGAATATGATAGCTAATCCTCTCTTGCAAGTCCTTGTATAGGAGAGAGATTGTTTGAAGAGCAAAATGTGCATGCATGTGTGGGTCCAGCTCAGTAGCAGCATGGAATGCGGATACAACAGTATGAATCTCATCCAAACACTGACTATATCGATTGTCCACCTGAATAAAAAGAAGATTACTGTCATTATGTTAGGATTGATGAAAACTTTCATATATGACTGTTCAACTTCTCAAATTTGTTTTAGAAGCTGTTGTTCTGAATCAGTATAGGCGATTTTCCCATGCATAAATTTTAATTTGGAAAAGTGAATATAAAAACGTTAATGTAACCTCACCTAATAGTTCAAGCTTAATTTTTTACATAGTATCATAGCCTTAGTGACAAGTGATCGAAAGTTTGATCTTTATCACCCCCCATTCTATTAAAAAAAAAATAATAATGAAATATTATAGAGCTTTTTAGCATAGGTGGGTGAGGCTTATGTATTGTCCATCCTTCAATCCCAATGGACTCTGGTGTGAGGAGGTGTTAGAGAAATATGATATAAAAGTTAAAACCATTAATGTATTAGCTTAAACTTTTAGGTTGAAATAGTTACTTACATTAAACATGTTTACATGTCTAATTCGACCATATGACCATAACTGATTCTACTAATACCAAATAATTGTATAAGATAGCATTGTACCAGCTGTAGAAGCATAAGCAGTTGGGATTTGTTTGATTCAGCTGCATGTCTTTGCAATGGAGATTCTAAATGTGCTTCAAACATAGAATTTTCATTGTGATTTATTGCTATCCTTCTCTTGGGTATGAAAGCTGAAGTTGATTTATCTCCTCCTTGCCTAACACCATCAGCTGAATAATTTATCTCTTCTAGATTTTCAAATGAATATGTTGCAATTTGAGTAAGTATCTCTTGCATTCCAGCAAGATATTTCGATCCCAAGATTGCTGGTGAAAACTGGACATGCTTATTAGGACCCAAATTCATAGACAGTTCCATACTGCTGCATGAGGCTTGCTCCAAGCCTGACCTTGTTCCATTCATGCTATGGGTTGGAGATGTTGCAAGACTTAGTGATAGCTCATTACTACAATTAGAAGAATTGTAAGCAAGATTGGCCAAGTTTGTAACATTTGATGATGTCCATCCATTTGGATCCTGGTTTACTATGGATGAATAAGCCAACAACCCAGTCCCATCAACCTCTGGAGCTTTAAGAAACTTGTTGACATTCCACTTACCATTACCCGGTACTTCATCGTAGCCGCGATCACCCAAAGTTGCAGACAAAGGGTTTGAAGTATCTTGCCAATTATTGAAGACATATGGTCCCAATGTCTCCAATGAACAGATAGAAGGAGACAAAGTTGTTGAACTCTCTAAATTTTCTTGAAGACCAATTCTAGCAGCAAGTGAAGCAGAAGTAATTGGCTTTCCTCCAGATAAATGTTCTTGAAAGTCACAATTGTCAATGGGATTTGAGGCATCTCCCACAATAATCTTTCCTAGTGATGTAAAAAAGGAATTAGAATCAGCAATACTAGTAGGATTTCTGAAGTGACCATCTACATGGACATTACTTGTAGGTTCAACTTGCTCTCCAGCAAGAATTGGAATTCCATTTATGATGTGGTTTTGGTTGTTGAGGTCAAATGAATAGTAATAAATGAGTGGCTTTGGTGTGAGATGCTGTGTAGTTTCTTCCATGGCAGAAGAATTTCTGCCAGCCATGTCCAGTGGAACATTGTACATATCATTCTCCATCGACTTAACAAGTAGTAAATGTAACTAGAGGCTCTTGGTACTTCAATGGTCTTTTAGAACAGCACTAATTCAAGAATGGCATGATCACTCTGTTCAAATTCATGCTAATCTGGGCCAATAGAATCTAGTTATCCCATTTCTTGAAGAATTATCTTGCTCTAATAAACATACCAAGACAGATCCATGCTACATACAAGAAAATAAAATAAAATTGGAACAAGGCAGAGAGAAAAATCATAGATGATTAACAACATATTGAAAGATGAAAGGTGACAAATAATAAAAAGATTGCTTTTTAACTAGTTATTTGATATAAACTAAATGACACAAACGATTTCAAGAGAAGGGGAAAATCAAAAGCATACTTGTTAGCAAACCAAGTGAACCAACCTTCTCTTAATAAGCATGAGTTATCTACCAGTCATCACCCACAAAAGCAAGCAGAGCCACTATATGGAACTTTAGTTGCATTCCAAGAACCTAGAAAAACAGAAAGGAACATTAAAAATAAGCATTGCCAGTTTTAAGTTATGGTTAGAGGATCATCAAATTTGACCCTAAAGATTACAACAAAAAGCAGAAGCACAATGGTAAAGACTAAAGAGAAATGGGCTATTAATTTGTTAGAAAACAAGAATAAAGAAGCAAACCAGAAGCCAATCATTCCCCTATTGAGCAAAGCATGCCAAACAAGGCTAATACCAAAAGCTTGTACTTGATTCCGTTTGCATGAACAGAAGCATTATTTTAATTCAAGTATCCCAAACTGTAAAACCATTTTCATTTTCACAGATCCCATCAAGATTCATTGAATATCCTTCCTCTCTTAACTCCTAAAAACACACACAAAAAGCTCAAAATATTTCATTATCTTTCTTATCTGGTCTTGTAAATAAAAAAACAGTCACCTCAAGAAAACCAAAAGCAAGGAAGAGAGTAAAGGCCAAAGTAAAAAAGAATTTTAAAAAAGGAGCTAAGCTAACCATGCACCTATGCGTGAGTTTTTGAGATGAATGAAAAAGGAGCCACATATGAGTAACATGAAAGGATAGAGAGAGAGAGAGAGAGAAAGAGAAAGAGAGAGGGAAACATAATAGTCTTTTTTTTCTTTTCTTTTTTTTAATATTTTAATCAATTTATCATTTTACGATTAATTTAATTCGTGATCGATCTCGAAATTAAGACTTTAAATTTCTCTTAAAGACGATACCGAAAATGATCGAATACATATTTTCACTTTCATCTGTTCAGTTATCAACTGAACTATCATTATTCCATAAAACACAACAGTCTTTGGTACAGTGCCACTCATTTCTGTTGCAGGCTTTACTGGGCCCATCTCTCCCTGATCTCTTTTGTCCTCCACACTGCCTATTATCTTATCATCTGCTTCACTGCAATCACCATAATCAAAATATCTGGATTCTCTGTGTTCAAACTTCTGTTCATGACAGGTGGCCTCAGAAACATTTTCAGAGAAAAGGCCTTTGCTTTTTTAGCTATTTTGAAAACAAGATGCTAATGTGAATAGAAACAATAGTAGTAAATGGAGTAAACAAGCGTCGAGGTTTTCCTTCAGAATGTAACAACTAAAGCCACAAGGCAAATGGATGTGGGGGAAAGAGAGATAAATAGAAACAGTGTCATAGCCTTTATATAGGCTTCTAGCTTGTGTCCTTTCTTGTGGGTAGCCAGACAGAGAGAAGAGAAAGAGTTAGATGGTGATGTAAGCAAAGCAAAAAATGACGACAAGTGTGTTTGCATGGCCATTCCTATAGGCTATATAGCTATGAGCCATAGCGGATAATTATGATAACTAGAAAGCACCACCTCTTATATTCAATGTGGAAAGTGGAAATAGTGTCACTAATAGGGTAGCTCGTCCTTATTTGCATATATTCTGGGATTTTGATTTGTGGGTCATGGACCATAGATCCATAGATTCATAATTTTGATTTGTCAGCATTAAATCTTTTAATTTTTATTTAACCAAAATCTAAATAAAAAGAATAGAGATATTCTATCCTCTTCATCTCTATAATGTAGTGCTTTTTTGTGCATTAATTCATCATTCCTCTGTTTAAAAAGAGTAAAAATTTGAGATTCAATGGAAAATATTTAAAGAGATATGGATCAAATAAGAATTTTTTTCTTTTTGAAAAAAAAAAATCCACTTAGATACATTCGATGGATGTACAGAAAAAAATCTCCCTCTACCATGATTGAAGTGTGTTTTTAAAGGATATATATATATATATATATATAGGATTTTATAAAAGTTATATGGTAGAAAAAGTTATTGTGTTATGTTATAGAGATTCGTTTTGCGTGCCGTAATTTTTTTTTATGAAAAAACTTTTTCTTGTCATGTTAAATGAAATGTAAATCCCATATATATATATATATATATATATATATATATATATATATGTATTAAGTTATTTAATGATTTTATATTATATTATTTTAACACATATCTCACATACAAAAAATATGAGCTTAAAGCATGAATATTGTATTTTTTTATATTCTTATACTAGCTTAATTTCACTGAAAAAGAAGACTAGAAAAATCGAATTTATGATCTCATAATTTGGGGAATGATAAATGTTAAATAATTATCTCACTTAAAATTTTAAGTTGCATAGAGAATTCCATTATTTTATATCATATCTCCGTGACAACTAGGGTGTAAATGAGCTGGGCTGGGCTAGGCTAGGCTTTGCCTTAAATAGGTCAAGCTTGTGTAAAAAATATTGGGTATGACCTGGCCTATTAGCCTGTGTAGGCCCCAAATTACAAGTCTGACCTGATTTATATTTAAAAAATAAAAGCATAGGCATGTTAGCCTGTTTAAGCCTATTAAACATTCAACAATTAAAAGAATAACTAAAATAATATTATTTTATTATTCAAAATTATTAAAATAAAATTTTATTTATTATAATTTAAATAAATAATATGATATAGGCTTGCCTGTAGGCTTATAGGTCAGACATGTACAAAAAGTTTATGACCTATTTTCGAAATAGGTATTTTTAAAAATTTAGGTTTGTTCTATTTTACTATTTATAATAGACCAAATCTGACCTAATATAGGCTAGGCCATAAGCCCCTGTAAGCCGGTCTAGTCCATTTACACCCTAGTGACAACTACCGTCGTAAAACTGCTATCATTCAAGCATCACTGAAAGAAACAGTAACATATTCAAAAAAGAAAAAAGAAAAGAAACAGTAACTAAAGAAATATAAAAGTTATAGTAGAAGAATTTATAATAGAATAAGGGGGTATTTGATAAGAGGAATTTTTTGAGATTTCAAAAAAAGTGATAGTGATAATTTTATTTATCCATGTTTGATATAAGATTTCTGAAAATTTATTTTGTGTATAATTTTTCTTCCTAAATGTCATCCAAAAATACCACCCATTTGGTGATATTCTTGGAATCTCATGTGAAAATTTTACATTATTTTTTGGATAAAATTTCAATAATATCTTAACCTATCAAATAATTTTTTGACAATATTCTCGAAAAAGTACTTTCCCATCATATTTCTAGAAATTGTACAAAAAGAAAAAAAGGTTTATCTTCTAAACTACTCATTAGTATAGTATTTCATAAATTTTGTAGCAGAATAGTGGGAGGTTTGGTTTTTGTTTTCCCTCTCCCTCTCTCTTTTGGGTTCAGTAACAGATACAAGACTCGCCTCCCATATATGGGCCGTTTTAAAACTTTTTTTTTAAGTACATAAACCTTTTAGATGATAGGGCATGAACTGGACCAGTGTGTCTGACTAGTGTCCGTTCCTCATAAACGACAAAGCCAAATAAATGTTATGTTGGTGTTAGGCTATAGTTGTACCCATTATTTTATTTTATTTTGAAAATATTTCAATTGATTAATCATTTTGTGACTTCTCAAAAATGGTATTAGAGAGGATCGAACACATAATCTTATTCTCACTTGTTCAATTTTCTAATACTAACTGAGCTACCATAATTTGATAGTTGTACCCATTATTAAGCCTTAATCAAGCTTAACATAGCCTCAGAAAGCAAGCTTTTATCTTTTGTGTCATTTTTTTTTTTTTTTGGTACATTGCCAGGAGGTATCCCCATTCAACCTTCTCCGGGCACCATGCCCTCGGGGTACGGCCCGTTTGGGCTAGCCCCTCATTGTAACAGTGGGTACACTAAGCTTCGCAACCGGAGAAAGGACAAGACTAATCTCCCAACCGAAGATTTTACATATTTTGTGTCATATTTTACATTAACATAAAGACACATATCTGCACACGTCCAATGCTGATGGGACACGAGGAACAATAGCCCAATGGACAGTTAAAGTCCATTTTCTGGCATTGTTCAAACTATTTCGACCCCGACTACAAACCTTAACTTTGCTTGCGTCTGGTAGTAATGATTTGTTTTAACTTTAGTAAAATGTTACACTTAATATCTCTTTTACTTATTATTATTAAATCATAATCGTTGATTTTTGTCAATCTAACGGTTATAATTTATTGAGTTATATTTATTAATTAATTATTAATTTTCAATAAATTATAATCGTTAGATTGACGGAAATCAACGGTTACGATTTAGTAGTAATAAATAGTAAGAAAAAAAGGTAGTAGCTATAACTTCTCCCTTAAGTTCAATAAAAACTTGTTTAAACAAGACGAATCAAATTAACAAATTATAATCAAGTTATACATGTCATGAAAGCGAATTGTGCAAAGTAAGTGCTTAATTTATTGTTGTTCATATTTTATTGTAACGTGCTTAATGTCATAGGTTTGTCTGTTATGTTTCTGTTATAAACTTTCCCTCTTCTGAAGGATTCAAGACCTCTTAAATAATAAAGAAAAAAGATTTTTTTTGTTTTTGATAAATATCTTCAATGGAAGCAATCTTATTCAGTGCGGATTTAAGATTAAGACTTTAAACCTCTCTCATAGATGATAGGCTCTCAGTTGACAACACAGCCTGATTAGAGTGGAAAGAGAACCTAGTTCGATTCTCACCAAATATATATTTGGAGAGGAGCGATAAGCTATAACTGTAACTATGTTCCGACTCGAAATTAGTCTCATAACTAACTCAAAAAATTGAAACTTATAGAAATATTAGGGACTGACTCACTTCAAAAAAATATTTAAAGACAATGTGAAAAAAATTTGAATAAATGTGGCACTAAATTTTTTGTCTAGTTTCAAAAACAGAGTCAGAAAGTTAAGGTTTATTTGATTTCTGTTATACAAAAACAGATTTGTAATTTTAAAAACAAAAAAAATTAAAAAATTTGTTTTTGGTATGAGTTTTCTGTATTAATCATTCTAAAAAACCTCTGTTGTTTAATTTTTAAAACAAAAAATAGAGAACAACTCTTACCTCTTTTTGTTCTCTTTCCTGAGTTTAACTCTCAAACATATAAAAACACGGAGAACAACATCTCATTAATTACAATATGATAATTATAAGTTTTCTTTCTCCTTTTTTCTACAAAATGTTGTTCTATAAAATAATTTTAAAAACAAAAAATTGAGAATACAAATCAAACAGACCCTTATATGCCAAAGCAGAAAATAACACTACTAGAAAAATTATGTATAGCGAGAGAATTACTATAAAAATTTCGTCACTAATTTCATCCTTGCTACTACTTTTCCTTACAAATTTCCTCGCAAACGATAAAGTTAAGAGCTATACTATTAAAATCACTTCATCGTTAGACTCCGACTAGTGAGTACAATGATAAGGTAATTTTTATACACAATGTTACTATTACATATTTGCATCTCTTTTTAAGTAAAAAAACAATTACATCATATGTAAGTACAATATCCCAATCATTGTCAACTAACTTTTATATTTCTAGCCACTTTAAAAAAATAAAAACTTTAATCTTGCTTGCAAAAAAATGAACAAAATGCTCGTGTTCTGCACCCCAGTCTCAGAGAAAGAGACATGAGCCTTCGCACTCATAGTTCTTTTTTTTTTTATTGGGAAATAGCACTCGTAGTTCTTTGTCCATAGTCACATGTTCCTGAAGTTTGGCCACAACTCCACAAGTTATCACGAGATTTTCTCGCTTTGTTGTCCTTGCCGTTGAATTTGGGGTTTGACATTTAAGTTTCACAAAAAGGCGTTTAACTCAACTACTATCCTCCCCTTTTTCCCTCTTGAATCAATACTAACTACGATTATATATATATAGCTATATATGTATAAGGTTGACAAAAAATAGTTTTTTTTATAAAAAAAAAAAAAACAGGAACATCCATTAATTGCCTATTTGAACTTTAATTTTCATAATAAAAGTACACGAAAGCATACCTAGAAGCCTCTTTAAATAATATGCAAGCAGATCGCATTTCATATTTACAAGTGACGTCAAATGTCTCAACTTGAATATGAATAACACTATTCTTCTTCTTCTTCTTATTTTTCGTCTCAGACTCAGTCGATTACTTTCCAAAGACGAAAATGCCAAATCTAAATATTTTAAACTCATTTCACATTAAGAAAGCTTGAAATCTGTATTCAAATATTGGTGTTAGATACTTTCCCATCTATATATATATATATATATATATATATATATATATATATATATATATATATATATATATTGGTGTTAGATTCCAACCAATCTTCTACATCCCCTCCTAGCTATTGAATAAATTAACACGAAGGGTATGACCACCATATAATTGGTTGAACTTATTATAATTATTATTATTGGTATATAGAACTAATTATTTGAACATATACAAATCCCGGGTATTCAAGGCTCCCGACTTGCCAGAATAGGGTTACGATTGCATAATATTTTTATAAAAAGATATTTTATAGACATAATAAATATGTGACATTAATTCGAATATTCTGATCGCTGTTCTAAAGCTTGCCCTCTAATTATTTAAACATATTCTAATTAAATTTCAACTATCTAATAACCAAACGCTACTAATAAGAAAATAAAAATATTATTTTTTTTCATGATGAAGAATATATTAATTAGAAGGAAGGAAACAATGAAAATTGAAAGAAGCATGCGTTAACCACCAGCAATGAACTCAAACTCAAAGTCTGAATAACAGATATCAACTACAATTAACCCCAGCTTCAAAAACATTCATTCATTATTATTGTTGTCCATGCATTAATGTAGCCATAGCCACGACCCCAAGTTTCTGAAGGTTAAGCTTTACGACAGTGTCAACAAACATCTTTGTGTCCTCTTGAGTATTCCCTTCTGGTATATCAACGATATAAGACTCCAACACAATAGTATACACCTTACCGTCTTTGTTAAACTCATTCACCGATGTAACAGAACGATAGTTTTGGAGGCGGTGCTCGCCGCCAACAACCCTAAAGCTCAGAATATGCTTGTCATCATCCAAAATCTCGAGCCTCTCGGTGCTTGTTGATGCTGGAAGCCCTGAAACCACGCTCACCTCTCTTATGCTTCCAACGCCTCCGTCCCCTCTCATGTTGCAACCCTTTATGAAGTGCTTATACTTGTGAGGATTCTCGAAGCTTCGAACGAAGGGCCACACCGTGCTCGCTGGAGCATCGATTCGGTATGTTATAATGGAAGTGCACGTGTTTGGGGAAGGTTCGAACTTGTGGTATTTGTTCATTATAGGCTCGAGCTCAGCGAATTCTTCTGGTGTAAGACCCTGCAGAGGGTGTGTTTCTGAGGCCATTCTTGTGTGTGTATTTGGGGAACTAGCTAGATATGTGTGTTAATTTGAAGGAGAGGAGGTTAATGGAATGAGGTTCAATATCATATGATATTGGTAAATGGAGATGAGAGATGAATAGTGGACAAAACAATCATATGAAAAAACAACACATGAGGATGTGTAAGCTTATTTATCTCTGGGGTTGTCTTTTTTATTTTTGTTTTGGACAGATATGCCCTGGACAATTCAGTTTTATAACACCACAATACTTTTTGATCAAAAGTTTATATATAAGGGAACCATCCACTTACAAAAAAAAAATTATAAATTTTTACAAATTATGTTATGTATGTTCAGAAATACATAGTATAATATAGTATACTTCCGAGAATATAAAGTATAGTTTATAAATATAATCCTCCCTTATATATAATATGTGCATGTTATTCTTACAAATCCTATAATAATAAGAAGTCTTATACCAAGTTCTGTCCATTAATTTGTTCGCATCTAACTAATCACATATTTGATAAATTAGAGTCATTAAATATAAATAGAATCAACAAATAAAATTGAGAATATTTACATAGGTGTAAAATTATTATAACCCATATAATATATATTTGATTTGCTTCTTAATTAAGTAAGGGAGAATTTGAAGGCTGGACGGCTGGACCATAACTTTGCTATATGAGGAAAGGCGTTGTCTCTTAACACAGTTTTTTTTTTTTTTTTGTTTAATTGTATGGGCAGCTTTGTCTTGTGGTGATTTGAAGCCGATTCGGTGGTGCTTTTGCTTTTCTTTTCTTTTTTCAAAAATTCATACAAAACGACATCCTTATACCTAATTGTGCGTCATATTGATCTTTTATTTCTTTTCGTAGAAGTTGGATCATAGATATAAGATATGTAAAAAATATGGATTACATCATGGCATGCATGCCCATACCTTTGTGCTAACTGCCTAGATAAATAGTGGTAGATTTAAATTTTGTAGTAGTATATCACTATCATACTATCATAATTATTAATATAATGTTTTTTGGGTTGCTGCGGAGGCATATATAAAGAAAAAATGGTGGCTTTTGAGAAGGGAAAGAGAAGTGACTTTAAAAGGAAGAGTGAGTTAAGGGTAAGATTGGAAAAAAGGTGGAAAAGTAGGAGTAGGAGTAGTCGCAATCGTTGAAAAGGGCAAGCTTGAGATTCGCGAATCATGTGAGAACTCTAACAAACCCTTGTCCGCGTGATCCAAACTTCACTTTGCTTGTACTAAAAAAAAAAAAAAAAACTTCACTTTGCAGGATACCCCACTTGTCGTGGACCCACCATTCCCTTCACAAAACTGTTTCCATTTATTTATCCCTTATTTTGGTTCAGAGGAAAAGAGACAGAGCCGCAGAGGGGTGTGTGTGTCATTAGGGGTTGCTTATCATTGTTCTCAAGTGTTTACATCACCATTATCATCATCATATCATCATGTTTATTGGGAGAGTTCTTTCTTCCATACAAAGTTTGAGGAATGGGAAGAGGCCACCACGGGCACAGCTTTTACATGTGGATGTGGGGCTAGCTGTATGTGGAAATGTGAGCAGCGGTAAAATGAGTATAATTAAATTGCTTCTAAGCCACAGAATCTATCAATGTACATTGGCTTTGCCCATTATTATCATTTACATACGAATATAAAATTAGTAAAATCCCTTGTAGTTCCAAATCAATTTGACCAAGTGGAGTTAAAATATTAATATTTTCCTAATCTATAGGCAGGAGTTTGGAAAGCATTGCTCGACATGGAATTTGCTGCGAGTATTGCGACTTCTACAACAGTGTTATTAAATCTGAATCCGGCATCGATTTGATTGGAATATTGGATCACTGATCGGATCAGAGGGTCATTGATATTGTTGTTAAAAACTAGTGTTTTACATTTTTACTAGAGTGATCCGTGTTAAAACTCAAGTAAAAACGGTCCTCGGTAAAAACTGATAGAAACGACGCGTAAAAACGATAAAAACTTATGTTTTTACTTAAAACTTAAAAGTTTAATAAAAAAAAAGATTAACAAATTTTTTTTAAAAAAAAAACTATTTTTCATTTTCCCCAAATCATATTCACAATATCTTAATATCTTTTTGTTTGGATATATATTTCTTATAATTATGTCTTATAGAGCTGCAATTCTATTATAAGTTATGCTATAAGAATCGTTTTGTGTTTTTGGATCATTGTGTGTATTGAAATAAGTGGATAAGAAATGATCCAAAATCTGCAGAGTGTATAAAGCAGTTAGAACATATTGGTTATCCATTACTTGTTAATTATCACTGGTTATGAAAAATAATTTTCCTTTTTAGATAGATAAGTGACTCAACACACATGTTCATTATGTGATATTTTTTTTACTTGCATATATATAATTTTGTATCTTGATCTTAAGTGGTAGAAAGTAGAAACTTTACGTTTCGTGTCGTTTTCACGTTTTACATTTCTACCTCTCATTTCCATTTCTACGTAGAAACTCGAGTTTGACAACATTGGTCACTGGCCATATCGGTTGACCCGGATATATATAGATATGTAAAAATATATATAAATATGAACATATAAATTCAATTATATTCTCCGTATCTAAAATGAATCAAACAAGGTTCGCTAAATAAGCTCAAAAACATGAAGCATAAATAAATAAAAATGCACATTATTACTATGTCAATTTAAATTGTAACTAAGTATCCCCATAAACATACCTCTCAATAACGTTGAACTTATATTTCTCAAATTCAACTACATTAAAATGACATATGTCACATTCTCTAATTTATTATTCCAAATTGTTTCAGTATTGGAAACTAAAATTTGAGGTCATTGTATAAAAGTATACTAGCAAATAAAATTACAATTTTTTTTTTTTAAATGAGTTATACATTTTTTTTGAGAAAATGAAACAGTTTTGATTTTTTGATTTTTTGATTTTTAAATACATGACCCGACCAGGTCACCGGGTCATCGATTTTGACTGAGTTTTGATCGAGTTTGACTGGATCGATACATGACCAGTCCAATACTTGACCCGAATCAGTCTGATGACCGGTTCGCCGGGTTCCGGGTCGGGCCGGGTTTTACAACAGTGTCTATCAGTGCATTGATTCTAAAAGTAACAAAGCATACTGAGTATGGGATCGTTCTCATGGGGATTCGAATTTCAATCACTAATTCGCTATTTATGCTTAAATTGGACAATCAATCAAGAGAGTTGAATGAAATCTGATCACAAATATGGTATGAAAACCAAACTAAATAACAAAGTAAGATGGTAAAATTTGGATTACTTGTCAATTAAGAAACGTAGTTAGGGATTCGACTTCTCCCAATTCTCCTTTTATGTTCTGAATTAAAACCTTAATTAATCGTCCTTTTTATATTGCCTATCAATTCTCCTAAATTAATTAAAACTCAATCCTTTAGCATTCTAACCCTTTACTCCCCCTTAAGAGAATCATAATTCCTTGGTGTTTCTCAAAAGGAATTAAGCGTTAATATCAAGAATCATAAAAAATGACACAATTCATATGTCTATTCCTATAGTTATACAAATTAATGATCAATGACTCAAACCAAATTCATATACGAACATCCTTATTGTCATATATGAATCCTAATTCAATCTACAAGGATAACTCATAGAAGGCATTTAGCAAAGACACATTCATTCAATATAAAATGGAAAAATTACATTAAAGATTAATTCGGAAACATAAAGATTTAATTGGGTTTCATCTAGCCATAACTAAAGAAAAAATCTAGCCTAACTTGATGAAATCAAGAAAACAAGAAAGCTTCCCCAAACTCTATTGATATGATGAAGTGGTGAATCTTCAAGGTTTCTAGCATAATCCCGACTCCAGCCCGTCTCCGGCTCTCAAAAGCAAGGAAGCATGGACACTTGTAAAAACAGGGAGAGTCGTGTTCGACACGCTCCGACACGGTGTCGGACACGCGGTCGACTTTTTTCGACACGCGAATTTGACCGTGTCCGACACGGTCAAATGACATTTTCGTAATTTTTTTAAAATAAAATTATTTTTTAAAAAAATTAAAATATATTAATAAAGCTTCCACCTGATCATATCAATTTTATTTTTTTTGTCTTTTTTTTCCTTTAAGTAGATAAGAGATCATCTCAGCATCATTGTTGTCAATTTCTATCACGCTCTTGTTATATCTCCTTCTCTCTGATCTCTCTCTCTCATATGATTTGATCTCTCTATCTGATATTATATCTCTCTCATCTCAGTTCTTATTTTTTTTTTATTAAAACTTCCATCTTTATAACGTGTTGATGGGTATTATTAATTTAGTTTTATTTTTTTGTTAAATTATTAAATATTAAATGAAATATACACTATATAAATTAAAAATATTATTTAATATTAAAACGTGTCCCAATGTGTCGAAACTCATAATTTTTTAGGATTAACGTGTCGGAGTGTCGTGTCGTGTCGTGTCGTATCGGTGCTACATAGCTCAAAAGCATGAAAGACTCACTCCTCCAATGAAAACTACGCCTCCGGTATCAAGTTATGTCAAAGACTCATGAAGAATATCTTAAATAGGTGTAGGAAGGATCATTGTTATAGATGAAAACCATGTAATGAGTCTTAATTGGGTCGCAACTGGGTGTTAAACGAGTTGGAGCGCGTTAATAGCACTTAAATGTGCTATTTTGACAACAAAATGTGGTTTTGTATTTTGACCATAACTAGAGCTATACTCGTCCAATTGATATGATCTTGGTCTCGTTGAAAAGATAAAAGAGAGATTTACAACTTATATGAAAAATATGAGATCCAAATCCATCATATTGGATACAAAAAATTGGCCGAAAGACAGCTTTAGGGATATTTTTACCAAATATCTGCTGCTCATTTATCGCTTTAAGTCCTTCAAGCTTAACATTTGCTCAAATGCTCCAATTCGACTCAATTTTCCTACAAAACAAGAAAAAATCATTCACATAAGTCAATAATTCAAACTCCATGTTTTTTAGTCAAATAACTCTAAGTTTTTATGTTTTTGACTAGATATGAGATTGATTTTAGTCTTTAAAACATGATAAACCATGAGCTT